TAAACATTACAAAATATTAATCCAATTGCGTTTTTATATACTTTCTATTCTCTTTAATAAAACCACTGGTGCGCTCAATCGGAATCCCTGCGGCGCAACTGGGTTTCTTCACAAGCTGATTTTTCTATGTATTTTTTTAATATTTTAAACAAACACATTTTTTGCTAATATTTACATTCGAAAGTTATTTTATTCTGGGGTCCCACATGCGTATACAAGTACTAGGTGGCTGTGTGAAAATTACGTTAGCATTCCTTAGTGGTGGTTTTGCTCCCTCGCATCGCAATGTTTTCTACACAGGGTTACAGTTCCCTCTTTATGGTAAACATTTGTATTATTTTTCACTACATTCGGTTCTCCTTAGAAAAATTTGGCGCTTCATATTTTAGTAGAAATTTTAACCAACTATAAGCCATTTTTTTCAACAGTGGGTCAAAAAGGCCCGTTCTGGTTCGAGTTGATGGGTTAAAAAAGTAGACCAACCTTGTTTTCAATATGTAATCCGCCAAAAATCGTAAGAACTCCGTAATTTAACATAACGGTTGATAAGATTATTGCAAAAATTTATTGAGAGCAACATAAATTACCCCAATAACTAAACTTTTAAAGTTTTTTTATTTCTTTAAATTTAAATATGTTTTCTACAGATCCGTGTGTGTATGTATGTATATACCTCAGACCTTCTTCTGTTCGCCCATCAATCAGCGCCAGACACTCGAAATTTTAATTCAAGTAGGAAGTAGCAATATTTAAATTTAAAACTAATTCAATCACGAAATAAATAGAATAATTGGCATGGCAAATGCCTAACGCTGACGAGTTGAAATGATAAGATTAGTAGCCTCATGGCTCTTTGAAATTTACCTTATGAGCAGTTGCGTCGGCGTTTCCAGACGCGCCGGCATCGTCGCCGCCGCCAGATATTTTTGAAGTTGACCACGCCGCCGCCGCAAAGCCTGTCGGCGTAAACCTCTAGTATCGATGAATGCACCGCAAAAAGAACACCACCGCCGATTCTGCCCTCGCGGTCACTCCTGTATATTTGATATTCAATTGGAAGAATTTCGGAATTAAAAATATGAGGTTTGAGCCATGTTTCGGTCAAGGAAATAATATTATAATTGCAGTCAAAACCTTTTAAATATAAGTCAGTTAATTTGGTATTCAAACCTCTAACGTTTTGATAGTAAATACTTAAATTAGACTTGCGAGTTAGTTTTTTGAATACGAATTAAGATTAGGAATTTTAGCTACGTTATTATTACTTTTATTAAGTTTATACTCAAACTCGCGAACAAACGCCCCGGTCGGCCAAAATGAGCTATTTAGTAGTGAATCAAAATCTTCGGAAGCTACATCAATTTTAAAAGATGAAATATCGCGATCGTA